CAGAATCTGCTCCAACACTTATATTTTAACCTCTGTCAAATGGGAGTCAACATAGCACCTATGCATCTTATTAATACTTCCATGAGGAAAGAGAATAACCCTTTCTCCAAGACAACTGGATGGACACCTGTCCAACTCCTGAAACTTCAGAAAACTCCATCACCCATATATAAAGCACAAGGATCTCTCTCTACTTAACAGTATCACCACTACTGGATGAATTTTAACAGGAACTGTGGTGATCCTGTACATACTAAAAACATGCTTAAAAAGCTAATGGGGGCTTGGTGTGGTGGTTCATACCTGTAATCCCAGTACTTTGGGAGGTCGAGGCAGGTGAATCACTTGAGGCCAGGAATTTGAGACTGGCCTGACCAATGTGGCAAGATCCCACCTCTACTAAAAATACAAAAATTAGGTGGGCATGGTAGCACATGCCTGTAATCCCAGCTGCTGAGGCATGAGAATAGTTTCAACCTGGAAGGCAGAGGTCCCCGTGAGCCAAGATTATGCCACTGCACTCCTGCCTAGGTGACAGAGCAAGACTGTATAAAAAAAAAAAAACAAACTTATAGGGCAGGAAAAAAAAAGGGTCTATTAACTATTTAATCTTTCAGAGATTCAGTTATTTTCTTTGGCTAAATCATCACAGTATTTTATGAATAAAGTAAGTGTCATTACACTAGATAACTTACATTACCAATTATGGCAGGCCCACACAATAAAAAGAACAACCACCGTGCTAATTTGTTGCTATATAATATATAGTGATAATATATAGTGAAATGTTTAGGATAATATATAGTGAAATGTTTAGGACACTGCCTGGTCCCTAGTTAGTGCTCAATAACTACTGTTTATCATTATTGCTTTTATTTCACTGAATTTAGAAGAGAATGACTGGCACTAATTTTGACATAGTACTAGGAGTATAAGAAGAACAGGGCAGTAAATGTATTAGCCCAAACTAGGATAATGGCAGAGGCAGCCAATATAATGCACAGACTCTTATCTGAAATAAGAGTCTGCTAGATTTCTGACTAAATGGATTCAGGGATGGAGTATGTCAACTTCTACTTACCTACTGGGCTAGTTGACAGTAGATAACTGAAGCTCCCGTTAGAGAAATAAGCTGAGTCCAGACTGACCACTGGGTAGCTACAAGTGCCCCAATATGTCAGGATAGGGACTAACTAGTCAGTGGACAGCACTGGGTCAGCCAAGGAAGAGAATGTTTTATTCTGCAAAAGATCTAATAGCTAAGCTGCTAGTCAGAAAGAACCTAGGGTCTCTAGCAGAAGCACAAAAAATGGCTGAAAGAAATAATGTCTTAGGGTCAAAAAGCATTGGTACAATTAATTGGGACACAGAAATTACCAGGATGAATCTATTTTGGAGTGAAAGATAATGAATAATTTAGTTGTATAGAAGTAGAGTTTCAGGAAACAGGGAGGCATCCACTGCCTTACAAGTAGCTGGAAATGTGGAATCCATATTTAAACAGGAGAGTGAACCTGTGAGAAAAAATGAGATTCCCCACCCCACTCCTGGAAACACAAAATTAAAGCTTAGAAGAGAGAGAGTGAAAAAGATACAGAAGGCAAGAGAGATAGTTTAGGGGATAGAATCAGATGGAATAGGGTGGCTAGAGACTTGACTATGAACAAAGCTTTTAAAAAAGAAAAATAAAGCTTTTAGAGTACAAGTGCCTAATGAAACTGACAGAATAATCTCATACTTGAAGAATTATGCCTGATTTTGTGAAAAATTGAAGGATAATGCAGAAAGAGCAGCCTACATAACATAATCCTACTATAAAAGCATCAAAGCATGACTCAGAGATTTAACCCACAGGAAGTTATTAATAGGTCCTTTCTGTTTGCAAAATAGTACAAACATGCCATACCACCAAGAACAAAATAATCAGACATTTATTCTCCCTCTCTCTACCTTGTTTTTTAAAATATGTGGATTAAACCAATCTTTAATGATTTCAATGTTAATTTCAACCCACATCCAACAATAAATAACCAATCTCACTGGCTATTCATTTTAAACTTTGCTTTCCCAGCTTTTGTGGAATGGTGTCTAATTTTTTTAACTTGAAAACTTTAAAGTTTGAAAGGTGGTAAGAGCTGACATTATCAACTGTTTTTTGTTTTCAAATTAAGCACAGTCCAAAGATTTCCTATTAAGTGGCAGCTTTAAAAAGTTTTTTCTTTTAAAAAAAATTTCCACTGCTGTCATTGCTTCTATAAAGCACAGTTTATAGAGAGTTGATCAGGTGTGCCCTTTGATATTCTTTTGGTAGTGAAGACTTTTTAGAAATCACCCTCATGTACTCTAAAGCACAGCTGAAATTAGATGTTGAATTTTAAATGGCTCTTTTACAGATGTATATCATATATGCACGTATATTTGCATATATGCTCATTCCTGTATTTATGAAGATTGAAAGGAGCCTCTCAAGATTTAGTTCCGACTATGATGGTTTAAATTAAAAAAAAATAGGCAAAAAGGCACAGCTCTAAAATGTAAAGAAAATAAAATTAATGCAAAGAAAAACATTAGAATTGATATATTGTCTTTAAAATTATGACTGACAATTGAAAAAAGAAATGAGATCGAATTTTTAAAAATTATGATATTTCACAGCAGGGGTAAGAATAAAGAGAAAAATCCAGGTGTGGTGATGTGATTCTGTAGTACCAGCTACTAAAGAGGCTGAGGAGGATCAACAGAGCCAAGGTCAAGGCTGCAGCACACTGTGATCACACCTGTGAACAGCTATTGCACTCCAGCCTGGGCGACATAACAAGATCCCATTTCAAAGACACACAGAGAGAGAGAGAAGAGCAAAACTATATATATCATTTATTGGCTCACCAAAAAAGTTGAGCTGTAATAATAAAATACAATCATCTAAATATTATATAATCATATAATAATCTGAAAAGCATGTTGGGTCTCTCAGCAAATGCCTTTCTTCCACCTGTTCTTGCATATTGCCCTATAGTCCTTCTTCTATCCCTTTGAATGGCTCCTTTCATTCTTTAGTTGGGAACTTGGGTGACACTAGGCAGAGCCAGGCTGGGTTAGGCACTTCTACAGGCTCTCAATACCCCTGGCGCATACCCATTCACAGTGGATGCATTGCTCTGTATTATATTACTAGTTGCTATTTGCTTATCTGCCTTCCACTAGACTACACCTAGCTCTAGAGGGCTGGGTGTCAACCTTTAGTCATCTTTTTTGTCATCTTTTAAATATAATATATGGTATATACAGTTTTTGAATATGTAAATTAATGAGTCATGTCCTCCGTTATCAATATGAATTGAAACATGGCATTGCATATTAAGAAAGAATCTAGTCACACAATATACAAAGCTAGGCAACTTTTAGGGAGAACTGCAAGCTCAAAACTCTAAGTCTTACATCTTTATAGTATAAGTAAAGACATTTTTGTTTCACCAGCAGCATATTCATGCTTTCCACAAAAAACTAATGCTTGGTTTTATAAGATAAAGAAACCCAAATGGAAAGGTATGAGTTAAGTATGGAAAAGCTAATTCACAATGTGATTTAAACCATAAAGGAATAATCTGACCTAGGAACTCCTATTCAAGCAGATACGAATCCACACTATAACTAAAGAGATCTCCAAGTGTGAGACCTGAGGGGTGGAGGGGGAAAGGACAAAGTCATGGACTTGAAAACAGAGTGTAAATCACAGCCACCCTAAAATGGTAGTCAGCTTCTTATTTTTTCTCATCTTCCAGCTTCAGCAGCTCTGTCTTCACCCTCTCCTTCAGAGTTCTGGTTCACTTGTCAAAGCAATCTTACTAGGGAGCAACTGGCTTATTCACAGGAGGAAGGGAGAGCCCTGATGACGACAGACAGCCTGCTCCCCAAGAACCTACCTGCCTGTCAGGCCGGGGAGGAAACTCTAGGCACAGAAAAACAGTAGAGCATGTTCACTTCCAATTGAAATCTGTGCCTAAAATCCTCACAAGCAAAAGAAATGACCTCATATGGCCATTACCGCAAAGGACAGAAACAAATCTGAGTTGAAACTATGTAAACAATAGCAAAAGACTTAAAAACCCAGCTTCTACTACGTTTTACATATTTAGGCTTTGGAATAAGAATGATAAAGGGATTAGATATAAGTTCCCAATTGAAACATTAACTCTTACAAAATACGGTTCAACTTTAAGAAGTTACAGGTCATCTGCTGGGGAAATTTTGATACTCTAAGTCAGTCTACTTTTAAAATACCCGGCACTCTGTACACACACATACTGACCGCATTTTATATTTTCAAGGTACACCATTCAGGTACATTTCAAGAGAGTATCCTGTTTTAGCAACTTTACATAAATGGACACTGAAGTAAAGGAGGGGTTGGCACCTGCTTCCTTGCCCAATGTTCTAGAAGACAATGACTGTACAATCTCTAAGTGCTCTAGTCTCAGCTTCCTGCTAAGCTAGTCCTGTGACCCAGGTTCCAGTGATTACACGGCAAATATTACAGTTGCTAATCTTTCACAAGAGCCTTAGGTAATATGAGAAGAATCAGACACCTCAGCACATGCTTTTCCTCGCAGCAGCCTGGTAGCACCTGTCTATAAGTTTAACGACAGCATTATTTTAGCAGAGAAGGCAGTTAAGTGCTCCAGCAGTGTATAATCTCATAACTTTTCACATAAAAAAGAACCATATGTTTACTGTCCTTGCATTTCTTGGTAGTAAAATGTAAGCTGTACCATCACTCCACTCATATATCTTTCCCTCCAGTGCCACATTAAACTGTGATTGCAAAAAAAAAAAAAAGGACCCTACTGCTGAGGCTAGAGTTTATTGTTACTGTTTATATTGTATCATCACATACTAAATTCTGCTTCATAATCCACCTGCAAAATTCATAAAGGTATGCAAGAGATCACGGTATTATAGTGACATCTAAATCAAGGCTGTGAATACAGGGCTTGGGGTACCTAGCTGTTTCTCCCGTTCCTCACGTCGCTCCCGGGCCAGCCGCTGCCGGTCATCAACACGTAACACAGGCGGAGGGTCTGAAAATGAGATTTACAAAAAATGGGATGAAGAGTGGATTAAAAGAAAGAAAAAATTCATATTGATAAATATCCAGTAAATCTGAATAAAATACTGCTACACTTTACAACAATAAGTACACGTGACTAGAGTTACAGTGATCCACTCAATTACTGTGTTTTCTAAGGACTTCCAAGCATTTTTTTTCTATTTGAAAACATGTAAAATCATGACATAACTATAGCTTTTGGCTATTTTCTTCTAACAATATAAATGATATTTTATGTTCCTAATCTACCAAACTTCTATTATTTTTATGCTTTAAAAAGTCTGTTCCTTAATGACCCACAGAATCCTCAAGTGGCTTTATACTGAACAAATGTTTGCCAGTTAGAGGTGAAGTGCCCGAGCCCAACAGACACGCATTCAGTTTCTGCCCTGTCACTCGCCGCTGGCCAAGGTACTTACCCACCTGAGTCTCAAGCTGTGAGGTGTATTTTAATTTATTACCTGTAAAATAAGGATACAATAGAACCTATCTCGCATTCTTATAATGACTCTTAGTAGAGTGTGTAGCGTGTATGTCCCAGTAAATCACTGAACATCTACTATGTGCTAGGCACTGCTCTGTATGCTGAAAAGACAGCAGTCACCAAAAAAGACAAAGACTTGAGACTTCATGGGATTTACATTCTACTTGGGAAAAAATCTGATAGACAAGATAAATAAGTACTATACATGGAATGAAAAAAGGAGAAAAATACAGAGAATATTACACTGAGATAAATGTTAAGGAGACAACAAAGAAATGAAGGGGATTATGACATGTCAGGAAAAGGATGTTTAAATTTTTAGATGGAGCCCAAGGAAGGCCTCACTGTGATGACGATGTTCCATAGAAAGTAAGTGCAAAGGCCCTGAGGTTGCAAGGACCTAATATGTTCCAGAAACAAGCGGGAAATCTGAGGGACTGGAAGAGTGAGACGAGTAAGTGTCAAGGTGAGGACTTTGCATTATACTCTGAGTGAGATGTGGGTGGAGAAGAGGAGTTCTGAAGGTTTACAGGCTCACTCTGCTGCCGTATAAAAACAAAATAATAAAAATGATCATTATAATAATCACACCTAAAATTAGGTTTCTTTTTCTCTCTACTAAAACGACATTAGAATTGATATTGACATTTTTGGAATCTCGTGTTAAAAATGGGACTCTACATAATAATGCAGTAGAAACAGGATGAGTGCGGTAGCTTACACCTGTAATCCCAGCACTTTGGGAGGCCGAGGCAGGTGGATCACCTGAGGTCAGGGGCTTAAGACCAGCCTTGCCAACATGAGGAAACCCTGTCTCTACTAAAAATTAGCTGGGGATGGTGGCACCTGTCTATAGTCCCAGCTACTCAGGAGGCTGAGTCAGGAGAATTGCTTGAGCCTGGGGGGCAGCAGTTGTGGTGAGCAGAGATTGCAGCATTGCACTCCAGCCTGGGTGAAATAGTGAGACTCTGTCTCAAAAAAAAAAAAAAAAAAAAATAGAGTAGAGACAAATAGTAGTGCTTTGGCAATAAACTTAAAGGCCTGTAACCCAAATGTCTTTTTTTTTTTTTTAAGACAGAGTCTCGTCTCATCCGGGCTGGAGTATAGTGGCATGATCATGGTTCACTGCAGCCTTGACCTCCTGGGTTCAAGTGAATCCTCCCACCTCAGTCTCCTGAGTAGCTGAGACCACAGGTGTGCATCACCACACCCAGCTAATTTTTGTAGAGATGGGGTTTTGCCATATTGCCCAGGCTGCCAAATGTCTCTTGAACTTTACAGAATTTGTACATTTAAAGGAAATAAAACTGTGTAGAAGCCCATTAGTGGCCTGCATAAACCAGGCAGTGTGGACAATGAACAAGATTAGGAGATGGTTTTTAAAAATTGGTTAAATGGACCCTTCAATAGCCTACTATGATAAATATCTGTCAGATCTCCTAATCATTTATGAAGTTCCACATATTTTTTATATATGAAAATATGGCTCCTGGTCCTAAAAGGTTTAATTTGGAAACAAAAAATGGAGTGGACATGTATGTAGATCCTCTCAGGCAATTTATTAAGAACCATCCACAGGAAGTGTTTGCTGTCATTTGTTTTGGTGAAAGAAAATGGTGGCCATAGCAAAATGGCATTTTAAAGAAAGAACTTGGGGCAGAAGTCAAGATGAAGTTAAAAGAAAGACCTTTGCCACTTAAAAAAAAGACCTTATCACTTTAATACTCCTTAAATAGTAAGAGGTTTACTCCCTCATGTAAACTTTTTTCTCTTGAGACATAGTCTCACTCTGTCACCAGGCTGGAGTGCAGTGGCGCGATCTCAGCTCACTGCAACCTCCGCCTCCTGGGTTCAAGTGATTCTCCTGCCTCAGCCTCCTGAGTAGCTGGTACTATGGGCACGTGCCAGCATGCCCAGCTAATTGTTGTATTTTTTAGTAGGGATGGGGTTTCACCGTGTTGGCCAGGATGGTCTTGATGCCTTGACCTCGTGATCCACCTGCCTTGGCCTCCCAAAGTCCTAGGATTACAGGCGTGAGCCACTGCGCCTGGCTTTTTCCTTTTAAACAGGATCTTGCTCTGCCACCCAGGCTGGAATGCTGTGGTGCGATCATGGCTCATTGCAGCCTCAATCTCCCCAGCTCAAGCTATCCTCTTGCCTCAGCCTCCCAAGTAGCTGGGACTACAGATGTGCACAACCACACTCAGCGAATTTTTTTTTTTTTAATGAGACAGAGTTTCTTTCCATTAATATCAAAGTCTCTTGGGTGCTAGAATGTCACTAATACCTGTGGCAGATTAAAGATGGCTGTGCATGGGGCTGGGGAGGAGCAGAGACTTGTCTGTTTTGTTCCCTGCTGCATTCTCAATGCCTAGGGTTGTACTTGGCAGAAAAGGATATTCAATAGGTATCTGTTGAATGAATGAATGAACAAACAAACAACGAACAATTTTAGCTAACTCTCAGAGTCTTTAAACTTTTACTAAGAGGCACCAATGGGAAAAACTAAGAATGATCTTGTACCCAGAGTAAAATATTTAAATGCTAGCAATTTAAATATAACTAAAAACTGATAAAAATTTATCTTTAAAGATGGGTTTTCAAAAAAGCACAATTAAATAATTCCAGTAGTGAATTTTCTATAATTCATTGCCTCCCTTCTCATTTCCACACCTACATTATTTTTCCCTAAAAGAAAAGTAAGGTATAGAAAATACTTCAAATTTATGTATAGATCAGCCAGGTGCAGTGGCTCACACCTGTAATCCCAGCACTTTGAGAGGTCAAGTTTTGAGACCAGCCTGGGCAACATGGTGAAACCCTGTCTCTACTAAAAATACAAAAATTAGCCAGGTGCAATGGTGCAGGCCGTAATCCAAGCTACTTGGGAGGCTGAGGCAGGAGAATCGCTTGAACCTGGGAGGTGGAGGTTGTAGTGAGCCGAGATCACACCACTGCCCTCCAGCATGATTGACAGAGCAAGACTCTGTCTCAAAAAAATAAAAAAATATATGTATAGGCCAGGCACCGTGGCTCACACCTGTAATCCCAACATTTTGGGAGGCCAAGGCAAGAGGATTGCTTGAGTCCAGGAGTTTGAGACCAGCCCAGGCTCATTTGAAAAAGGGAGACCTCACCTCCACCAAAAATTTAAAAAATTAGCCAGGAGTGATGGTACATACTTATGGTACCAGCTACTCAAGAGGCTGAGGTGAGAGGATTACTTGAGCCTGGGAGATCCCGGCTTCAGTGAGCCATGATCACACCACTGCACTCCAGCCTGGGCGACAGAGTGAGGTCCCGTCTTGAAATAAACAAATTAATGTATATTCCATATTGTTTCCCAGTGGATCTAACATGGTTAGAATAAAATTAAGTTACTCATTCTCACAAGGAAAAAGGGTTTAAGAGGAATAGAATTTAGGTTTAAGTAAGATAGCAGCTGCACTCCAATTCAACCTCCTACCTACAATGTTTCAAGTGTGGCGTGACATCTAACCTGAGGCACTGTTAAGGGTGAAAGGGAGTGTCATTAAAATTCTGTGTCTATTCATGAAACCTCCTACCTACAATGTTTCAAGTGTGGGGTGACATCTAACCTGAGGCACTGTTAAGGGTGAAAGGGAGTGTCATTAACATTCTGTGTCTATTCATGTGACAATATGCATAAACCTGGATTACCTTGCACACATCTGAGAGTATGGCCATGCTACTAAAGAGCTCTCAAAGTTGACAAGGCTTTTGCAAGAACTCACTAGGCCATGACTTACATGTAACAACTACCGTTTCTACGGTAAATACTTCGGTATTTCTGTTAGCAATTCGTATTTTATGAAGCACTTTCACATTTTATCACTTTATCCTTCCCAGTAATCCTATGAGTTAGCCAAGCATTTATTCATTCAATGAAGAGTTACTATGAATTTTTTTCAAATGAAAAAAATCAGAGAAATAGATACGACTAATGAAGACAGCACAGATATGTGCCAGAGTGAGGGCATAAAATCCGATCTCTAACTCAGTCCTGTGCCCATCCATGCACCACAGCAAGTCACTAGAACTGCACAATGTAGTATCAGAGAAGGGCTGCAAGAGCCTAAGTCACACACTCCTCTATGAGGGCAATTGACTTATGAACAATAAGGCAGGATAAAGTTTCAGTGGCTCTTTTAAAGACTTGTGTTGGGGGACAGCAAAGAGATAGGAATTTAGGGGGATCTTTAATAAATATGGGTAGCTGCTTTCCTTACGTCCAGGAACACATGAAGTTTTCTTAGGAAGTCAAACGATTAATCATTTGGAGGTAGCTGGAGTTTGGAAGAACCATCTCCTACTTCTTCAGACTGTACAAACTGTCTGTTTTGGTCTGGGTGCAAGTATTCACATTTGAGAGCAATAGTCCTTCCAGCATAACATGAAACTTAATGTGCTCATGGTACTAAAACACCACAAGGGACTTCAGAAATGTTTCTTTGTTTTGTTTTGTTTTAGGCGGAGTCCCACTTTGTTGCCTACACTGAAATGCTGTGGTGGATCTCAGTTCACTGTAACCTCTGCCCCCTGGCTTCAAGTGATTCTCCTGCCTCAGCTTCCCAAGTAGTTGGGGTTATAGGCATGTCACCATGTCTGGCTAATTTTTTTATTTTTCATAGAGACAGGGTTTCACCATGTTGGCCAGGCTGGTCTCAAACTCCTGGCTTCAGGTGATCCACCTGCTTTGGCCTCCCAAAGTGCTGGGATTACAGGTGTGAGCCACCACACCCCGCCAGCCATAATGTGTTTTAAATACAAAAGTCACGACTTGAATGTGAATAAATGTGTTCTAAATCAAAGAGATGTTCTAGAGTCTTCTAATGAGTTTAAGTACTAGAAGGTAAAAGAGGAAAGGAAATTTAGCATCAAGAGCATTTTATATAGGTTGGCTTATCTGTATATACAAGAAAACAGACACAGGGATGCTCAAAAAGACAAAGTCAGAAGTGAAATGTCTCCCTATTTAACTTGATTTATGAAATGACTGTATATAAGGACATGGCCAGTTAGGGTGGAAGAGATTTTTCTGGCTTCTGATCTCTATATACTGTGCAATCTCTTATCACACTGGTAGTTCTGTGTTAGAATGACCCATTTACATATTGGTTTATCCAACATACTGTCAACTGGAGGGTGGAGATTATGTCTTTTATTAATATATTCTTCTTTTGGGAGGCCAAGGTGGGCAGATCACTGGAGGTCAGGAGTTCGAGACCAGCCTGACCAACATGGAGAAACCCCATCTCTACTAAAAATACAAAATTAGCCAGCACGGTGGTGCATGCCTGTAATCCCAGCTACTCAGGAGGCTGAGGCAGGAGAATTGCTTGAACCTGGGAGCTGAGATGGTGCTACTGCACTCCAGCCTGGGCAACAAGAGCGAAACTCTGTCTCAAAATAAAGAAATAAATAATATATTCCTAGTACCTTCATGATGCTAAGACTAGATGAATAAATGAATTATCAGGGTATAAAAGTATAAACTGCATAGTAAAAACGATGGTAGAAATTAGAAGCAGTGGTGGATGGAGAGAACGAGAGAAATACAGCACCAACAATTAAGCTATGTTAAATTCTCACTGTATAACAAGTGTGGCTTTAAAAAAAAAAAAAAAAAATGTTTATTCATCTTTTTAATCCTCGTGGTTCAGCACAGTGCCTGACACACAATAGGCACTCAACAATTATTTGATTTCCAAAGCATGACCATTCACGCATCCACAGTCCTCCTTTTATAGTATAAAGAAGGCCGACATCCAGGCCCCCATGTGTATTTTAAGAAATAAATAATTCCCAATAAGCTCTTCTTTTTCAAGGTGAGAAACAGTTCTCACGTTCAATTTCAAAATCAAGATGACATTCAGGTGAATGTATCATGTGTCATTAACAGAAAGATAACAAACCATATTTGCCTGCACACCACTGCCGTTTCCATTTCCTTCATTTTCTCTGTCCATATGAAAGCAACGTTTTATTATAGTTTTCACTATCTGTAAGAGCCCTGGACAATTGTTGAACCTGTAAGGGCTTTTTACCTCAGTTTTTGTCACATATTAAAGCTGTGTGTTGAGACTGAAGATTATCCACTATCTTCTCTTCTATCTCTATGTATTTTTCTATTTCTTCCCCTAATAGCAATAACTTGATTTCCGAGTCTTTGGTTATAACCATGAAGGACTGTCGTGACTCAAGGAGATTAGCCACCACCGCTTGACGCTGATAAACTTCCAAAGCCTTCCGAGCTCGATTAATTACAATGGAGGGGTCAGTCTCCAACTTAAAGGAAATTATAAATGCTTTGGGAGCACAATCTTTAACCGAAGGAGAAGCATTTTTGACACCATCTTCATTGTTATCTGAAGTGGGCCCCCTGATGACTAGATCTTGTATTCAGGAATTTCAGAGATAGGAACATAGAAATCTGACATGGCCACAGCCAGGTAAAACATCGAAGAAGGGCCAGCCACACTTCCAGTGGGACCTTGGTGCTGCCTGACGTGACCAACACCAACTGCTGGCCCTGTGCGCCCAGCCCAGCTGCGAAGCATGCCATAACCTCAGCCCAGCATGCAGCACTGGGAAGCCAGGGGAACTCAGTTACCAGGTCCATTTCCACCATCGGCTGAACAAATGTGATTTTCATGCTAAAGAACTTCTACCTCCATGGAGACACACTTGAATATAAAAATAAAGGTCCACTAGAATAAGCTACATGGGGACAGGGTCCATGTTGTTTGCTCATACAGTATGTCTCTCATGCTTCCAGGCATAGAAGAATTCAGTAAACATTAGATGGTAGCTGGAAGGTAGGTGGCTAGACAAATGGATACATGACTCAGTGACAAGGCAAGCTGACTAAGGAAATCTCTGCTTGCTAATTAAAACTCCTCTGACACTGCTCATCATTTTCCATTAATGGTGGCTTAAGCAATATTTTCAACCATACTGTCTTTCAACAATATTGTCTTTCCTCTAAGTGACAATCCACATTTATTTGTTGTGTTCAAGAACTTTTCCACAGGAAAAAAAAAAATCACAAAACTAAACAGAGTACAATGTTTTCTATAAGACCAGCCTCAGTGATTTCCATCTTTATTCTCACTGGTTCACTGTGCTTGAGTGACTTCAGTCCTAGATGCAGCGTGAAGTAGGTTTCCAAGAACCGCGTGGGTATTTGGCTTGCTTTCCTTTCCTTTGATTGTCTCTTATTATCATACTGTACATTCATTCCTCCCATAGGCCACACAATGGTTACTTGATATCTGGAAGCAACTGCATTGTCAGTTCAATTGTTTGTATTATATTTACAGATTGTTTGTTTCTTTGTATCACTGAATGAAAGGGACTCTGAATCAGAGGCAATTAAAAGAGATTACTGTGTAGGCATATAATCATTGCAAGGAATGGGAAACAAAACCATAATTCTATACAAGCTTTGCTATGTGTATAGAATTCTTGAAATAGTTTTTGAAAAAGTCACAAACGAGATATGTAATAATTCCTGTTAGACATATAGGTATAAAAAATTGTGTCCTATCATTTGGAACAGAACAGTAAAATTACCACTTTAAACTGCTTGACCTTAAATGAGGGCATCCACATACACCATGTCATTGACTGTCAAAATGACTCTGAGAGGTAAGCAGGCCATGTGTTTGAATCTACAATTTAAAGAGAGAAAACCAAGGCTTGGCTTTGAGAGGTTCTCAGACTTAATATCATATAAGCCAGTAGGAGTGTGTGTTTGATGGCAAGACTGAAACCAAGCTCTCCTAAATTCTAGTTTTGTGGAAACTGAACTTAAACAAATTAAACCTTTATAACTGTCAGCATGCCTTGGGCATAAAAGATAACCTTTATTTTCCCACAGTAAATGCAAATGCATCATACCTGGTTTATTTCCTGAGTGGTGGGTATTTTGTCCTGAAATTGCAGTGGCAGAGCGGTCGGAGGCATTTTTCTTATCTTGTACTTTATAGCTGTCAGGCGCTACAGAAATGAGACAAAAGAGAAAAGACACATTTAGTTTCTTAAAATTTCTTCAGAAACCTTTACCTATTCAATATTTATTGTTAACCTTTGTAGCAGGTACTCAGGCTAGATTCAGGAAATGAAAAGATGAAATAGTTACAACCTGTGCCCTCAAGGAGCAGGAAGGACACATAAAAAAAATCAACAACTCAGTTTGAGTGACCAGTGTTATAGAAGTGGCACTTTCAAGGGGCCATGAAGGGCCTTTCCTGTGGCCGTTCCAGTTTACACAGAAAGCAACCACGTGGAAGCACGACTGGAGCCTAGAGTCTTTGATCTGAGTTCTTACAAAGCACCATCGGCTTAGAGTACATTTCAAATGTATTAATTTCTTTCTTGCTTTCGTATAGTCAACATCATTTCATCTTTCTCTGGGGTTATTGAGTCTCTGCAGTAGCCCCAGGTCCTGACAACGAACATCAGCCCTAACTAAGTATTATGTAACAGCAGACCATGGGGATTGAAAAGACTTCAACATATGTTCAGTACAAGCCACTTTTCTGAATAAGCCCTGATAAATGCTTTTGGGGGTGGGGTGCTAGAGGGAGGCCGTAGTTTGCTTTATTATGCTGAAATTCAACTTAAAAAACATTCAATTAAACAGGAGTTCTGGTTACTTGCACTCTAATTTATCTACATCTAACTTTTACTGGATCCATTCTAGGTGAACACCAGAGGCCTGTCTGCCCACTTTATCTGTCTGGATGTCAGGAATTCATTTCCATCCCAGAAGACCTTCTGGGTCATATTCACCATGAGACAAAAGCAAAATCCATCTTAAAATGTTTCTATGCTCATATAAAACTGAAAGGGTAATTTTGTGTTATTTTATTTTCCAACAAGCCTTTTGCATTAATAACAATAGGTTAAATTTAGTAAAATAAAAATAATTTTTGAAAATTCTCAGGCTGTTTAAGATTATATGTTGCGAATTCCTAGCTGTTAGGTTGGATGTATTTCTAAAGTTTTCAGGCCTTCTCTCTGCTTTCATATCAGTCTTTCTCTTCTGCTACTGTTTAAGGGTCTATATTTCTTCCAAAACTTCTTTGGTGAACATTGTAACAGCAAAAGACACAGACAGACCTGGGTTCAAATTTGAGACTTGGCACATAACCAGTTGAATGGCCAGAAAGTTATTTGGCTTCTCTAAGTAGGTCACATGGGGTAATAACGCGTAACTCGCAGAGCTGTTGGAAGCATTATCTGAGAAGATATGTGTTATAAATCCACCACCAGCTTTGGCACATAGGAGGTGTTTAACAAAGTATTCAAGGCCCTTTCTCCCAGCTTCTGTGCTCTTCCATGGAGCCCTGAGCATCCCATACTCACAGCACCCATTCAGGTTAGTGTGTTTTGGAGTCAGTAAACCTAGCTCTGCCATTTACAAGCTGAATCCTCAGCATGTCACTTAACCTCTCTAAGTCTTAATTTCCCCATCTGTAAAGAGGGAAAATATCTACTTTCAGAGCTGTAAAAATTAAATGAGATAATATACAGAAAGGTATTTCACTGCCTGGCCCACAGCAAGGCATGATAAATAGTAGAAAGTATTTTTAGCTCTCTTCAAGAAACTGGGCTTCGAGTTCCTCAGGGATTTGTGAGAAAGCAAACCTGTTAACTTGGTAACAGGGGTTCTGGGGGCAAGTGATTAATGTGGCAGGAAGGTCTGGGTCAGCCGCTAGTTCCAGAGGTTTTCAGCTCAGCCACAATCATACCTCCTGGGGGCTCTCAGGTAGAGTGGACTTATTGGTATAATTGTTAGGGTATGGCCTGGCTTGGGAAGGGGTAATTAGTCTTTCTGATTCAGAGTTTGGGGAGATGACACTTTTCTAAGATTTGATGCCTTTCATTTTATTAAGTAAATATGAGCCTTAAAAAAATTAATAACAATGAGAAAATAAAACAGATTTTTTTTAACAAAGTACAGTGAATTTCATTGCTTAAGAACACAATGACAACAGGAATTTATTCATTTTCTGATTTCCAAAATTTAAAAACCTGAAAATCCTCATTAACTAGCAGATAGGATTGCATATACCCTTATAAAAGTTCTCATGGAAAAAAAAACTAAAATGACTCAGATGACTTTGCAGTATTATTTATTTGAATCTCTCATCTTTGATTAAAAAAAAAAAAGAAAAGAAAGCCATAAACTATGATGCTCGGTAAATCTTTGCTAGCCTTATGCAAACTTCATTGATCGTCCTGCTAGCTTGAAAGTGTATTCCATTAGTGTCACATGTGAGTGTTAAAGTAAAAACAAGAGGAAGGATAGAGACAAGCACCCTTGTGGCCTGGGACTCTCTTTCCAACATACTCTGAAACAAAATATAGAAGCATCAGACATTTGGAGCCTTCATCTAGTGAAAATTCGGTAGCTCCAGTAAGTGCTCCAAATGTGCCTGTACAATTCACATCCTCTGCCACTCACTGATTCCTTGCAGCATCTCCCCACAAAGGCCTTGGTGTTCTCACTGCTTTGTTTCTACTTTGGGCTGTGTGGTCCAATACAGAGTCTTCTCTCAACTGCTCAAAATAACTGGTCCAACAAATGACCTGTCAGTTTAGTCAAAACACTTGCTCTCAGACACTTAGGACTACAGCCTTTGCACCATCCTGAGTTTAAATCTCACTGAATAATATGTGGACTTGACATCCACAAGGTTAAAATAAAATCTGGAATGTGGGCTGGGAAACAGCAAAGCTTAGACTCAATTCCCAGCTCTGCATAGTCTCTTAGCCATGGGGAACTACTAAGTTCTCAAGATCCCCAGTGGATGCCTGAACTTGTGGGTGGTAAAAAATCCTATCTAGGCTATTTTTTTTGGATCTACTGAGACAGCTCCTATGTGACTGACAGGTGGGCAGTGACTACAGTGTGGATCCACCGGACAAAGGGATAATTCACATCTCATCTCAGGCTCGGCAGAGTGGGAGGGCACGGGATTTCATCACACTACTCAGAACAGCATACAATTTATGAATTGCTTATTTCTGGAATTTTCCATTTAATATGTTTGGACCACAACTGACTGTAACTGAAACCTCAAAAAGTGAAATCATGGACAAGGAGGAACTACTGCGTACATGCTTCTCTGTTACAGTCTTCAACTGGACTTTGTGGGCATACAGCCCCTTTGTGGACATAATATACTGTGAGGAAACAGCTTTGGGGGAGTGACCTAGAAGACAGAACCAGAGGTTGAACCACATGAAACAGCCTTTTATGTAGTAAAAAAAAATGATTAAAAATTAACAATTTTGTATGTTTCAATCTAATAGTTTAAATAAACATGTACAGAAAAGAGTTATCAGGCCTGAGACTGCTGTCCTTTATTTTGTATATATTTATTCCTTATATTTATTTATTCAAATATATCTGCCAGGAGTATTGTAACATTTGAATCATATGTATGAAGTGTTTTATCCAATGTGGTTTATAAAATTAGCATTAGAACAAGACAGAAATAAAGCAACAGCATTGCTCCTAATGACTTTTCTGATTATTCCACATAATAGAGAATTTCTCTTCAGTTTAAATTCCTCATAATTATAAGCGAAGTTGGGTAGTAATGATCAAAGCACATGAGAGTTAGCATCAGACCTGGATTTCATTTCCCACATTACCTCAGTTCTCTTCCTACTTCCATTTATTCAGACAGTACCCTACTCCATGGGACACTTTGAGCTTGATGCTGGAAGTAATATTATTAGGTATATAACGTATCTCCTTCTACCACTTCTTTTTCCTTTTCTTGTCCTATGTTTCTAGGTTACACTGTATTCTGGAGCTTCTGATTCTTTCAATAATATCTCCTTTCTTCAAAAAGTCATCTCCCATTATGTCCTGAAATATTATCTGTACATCGGTCACCGTCGAGTATGCATTTATAAATATGCACTCTCAATAAAGTGCCCATCTTCAGCCTCTAGGCAATATCTGCTTGTATATTTCTGCTATCACCTGAACATCCTCACACAATAAAGCCAACCCCCTAATGTCAGTCTGCTTGTCACTATCAACAGAACCACCATATTCCCAAGCTCAGAAATGTTAAGAATTTTTTTTAACAAACAATTACAAATATCTCCATGGGGCAGACGCTGTGCTATGCAGTGAGAATACAAAAGTCATATGACATAGCATCTGCTTTCAAGATGCTTATCACCCTTTGGAGGAGACGTTATGCACATAAGTGAAATTGCAACAATAGACTAATTCAATTTTCTAAAAAACCCATAAACCAGAGAGGTGTAAGAACCAAATAAATAATATAGATAATGTTACAAGAATTTGGTGGTGGGAGATGGGGCCACAAGGAACAGGAGTCCCTGGGCAAAGAGATTGCAGACCAGAAAGCATCTGGATAAGTGAAGAGTAACGTGGAGAAGTTCCCTTACTTGGGTAGAGCATGAGCAAAACTACCAAGGCAAAGAAACAGGAGAGACAATTGGGACTGTCTGGTGAGAACAGCAGGTTTAGGAAGAGAGGCAGCTGAAAATATGAGAAGAGAAACAGGCCAAGGTCAATGCCTCTTTGAATGCCAAGAGTGTGGACTTTTTCATGAAGGCAATGGAAAGACTGAAGTATATCACATGGAACTTCCAGCTGTGAACTACTTTACCTTCAATGGATTCTGTATAAATGAAAATTGAAATCTAACAAGCCTGCTGGAAATGAATTTAAAAAGGATTTCATCTTAAAGAAAACAATAAAACGAAATCAGATTAAAAACAGACATCCTAAGAACTCTACCTTCTATATAATTTAGTAACTAGTCAGGTTCTCCCACTTACCCATATCATGTACTAAGAGATAACTATTTGACCATTAAGTGGTAAAAAGTGACATGAATGAATATGGTGAAACTTATGTCTGTTGCTGAAGAAACAAGAAATAGGGGAAGAGTAGAGTCGGTGTGGTCACCCGACAAAAAGCCAAGGGCAGGTCGCATAGC